TGACTAAAGACAGGCTACTTGCTAGTACACTTGTCCATTCTGTCAAGAAAGAACAAGAATTCCGATCCATCTTTGACCACATTAAGTTGCCACAGGCCAGCAAAAGCACTTCAGAGTCATTTATTCAACACATTGTGTCCTTGGTTCATCATGTTAAAGGTATGTTTATTAGTACGAATTAAGTATTTCTTGTAAATGAAAGTGAACAACTAGGCTTTTAATAATTAATGTACTCTAGGGCTAGCAAGTAATATATAGACACCATGAGAAATTTGGAAAAATAGTTTCATGAAAGAGCTATCAGTTTTGTTAGCATTAAGACCCATAGAGATACTTAATACAAAGTGATTAAAACACTAAATAGAGTTAAAACACACTCTAAAAATCTGTATTGTGACAAAACTGATACATATTTAATGCAAAGTCTTTGAAATGTGTCATACTGTATTGGAAGGGTAGAATGCTTACAGATGATTTATCCTTGCATGCATATGACTTAACAATGTACTCTTGCATAGATTTAGAATAAAGCAAGGCCATGGTGACTTGAGTATTACTGAGAGTAATACTTCAACTTTTAAAGAAACCCGATACCAGTGGAAAAGCAGTATTGTTTTTCTATCTATATTTTTGTGTTACTTAATTTGTTGTAATACTTAGCTTTTTAAAATGACAGGTAAACTGGAAAAAGAATTATTGGAAGTTTTAAAGGGGAAAGAGTTCAAGTGATTTAAAAATGTTAGATGAGTAGTGATTACATGAATAGTGGATGATAATAACCTTTTTTTAAGTCCTAAAGATGTTACATGTGTTCATTTTAGCTAAAGTAATGATGCTCTATTTTCACCCGTATGTAATTCTAGCTTCAAAGTTACTAATAATTTTCAAATGTTTTAGGGTATGACTTTTTGGGCAATTAGGTTGTTTTGTTTTTGTTATTTTCTTTTTGTGTTTAAAAGGCAGCTTACTATGAAATAGGTTCTTACCCAGGAAGCTACGTGGTTGTTGGTCTTAAAAGCCATTTTTTAAAAAAAATTTGTCTTTTTATGAGAACAACTCATTGTAATAGCTGAAACTTGTCATTAGCAAATTCTTTATGCAGTTGATGTCTCAAAACAGTGAATAGTTAATTTCTTTTTGACTGTAATTATTTAAACAGGGTAACAAAAAAGTTTTGTTATTTGGCTATAACTAGGTTTGTGAACCAGTTTGTGACCATATTATTGTGGTACATAAAATATGAAACATTAACATTTTTCCTTTTTTTTTTTTTTTTTTTTCTTTTTTTGACCTGTCTCCACATTTTACAGTTTATTGCTGAATTTTGAGATCAGGTTTTGATAAATTTTTCATTTTCTTTTCTTTTTTTCTTTTTTTTTTTTTTTTAAAGAACTGTAGTTATGTTTCATTA